TCGAGCCCTCGCATCAGCTCCGTGTCTCCTCTGGCCTCACTCCAGCAGCTCCACGTCCCTCTTGGAAAACAATTCCCTCGGGAAAACGATGCCTCCTTCTCTTCTCTTGTTCTCAAACCTGCTCCCTTCTCCCCACACTTCAGAAAGACAATTACAAGAGCCACTCAACCCAAGAACTGTCTGTTCACACGCTTAAAGCCTGTCAAAGCCTTCATAACCCACCAGCACAAGCCTGTCATTCCCATTACACAATCCCAAGCACAAGCAGCATCAAGCCCAATTATAGCAAACTGTTCCCCCCTAAGTCGCTGTGTGAAGAGTGTGACTAAACCTCCTTGAAGCCGTTAACTCAACCTATAGTTAGAGCCACCCCAGAGGCTTCAAGCCTTTGACTCAGTTTGGCAAAGGCTCCAAACCCCCAAAGCAACTCCCTGCCTCGTGGTTCTCCTTCCCTGCTGCCTCCTTCCAGGTTTAAAGGGCAACAGAGAGGGGGAAATGCTTCACCAAACACATGACGGTGCTGCTGAAATAGCAGCTCCCTCCCTGTGGCATCTGCAACAACACAGACCTCCCTCTGTGGCTCCTTCCCAGCAGCAAAACCAGCTTTGCCCATCACAGTTTAACACCAGGGTCAGCCACAAGCCTGGCCAGAGCTCCTCTCTTGCTGGAGACAGTCATTCCAACCCATGGAATGTGTTAGGGGAGAGGAGCTGATAGAGAAGAGTCACCCTGAAGAGCCACTGGAGATGGGTTTGGGCTCCCCAGCAGCTTCCAGCTCATTCCCAGCAGGTTTTCTCCTCTACCAGATGCACTGGATTGAGTTGGATCCACACAGAGTGAGCTCTGGGCTTGATGGGGGAACCTGGCAATGGGGTTTGCCTCTTCAGGCTCTTGGGATGGAGCAAAGGAAGCTGAAATACCCTCAAGGCTGGCTCCCGAAAGCAAAACCTTCCCCCAAACCCAACATAAAGCAAAAGCACTGAAAGCCCAAGGGTACAGTGCTGACAGCCAGGGCTCCCAGGCTTTGCATCCCAGCAACCAAGGCAGAATCAGTCCCTCGGCTCATCTCAGCAGCATCTCAGTGTGGTTTCGGGCTCCAGGCCCTGAGCATTCTCCCCCCCGAGTGCTGGGGCAGATGCAGGATTGCCCTGGCCATGCTCTGCCCAACGCCTGAAAGCACTGAAAGCCCAAGGGTACAGTGCTGACAGCCAGGGCTCCCAGGCTTTGCATCCCAGCAACCAAGGCAGAATCAGTCCCTCGGCTCATCTCAGCAGCATCTCAGTGTGGTTTCGGGCTCCAGGCCCTGAGCATTCTCCCCCCCGAGTGCTGGGGCAGATGCAGGATTGCCCTGGCCATGCTCTGCCCAACGCCTGCCACTGGGCTCGGCATCTCAACCTGCTCACCCACCACTTCCTCACCTGCACGTTACCCCCAGCTCCTGCTCCGAGCAAGTTCAAGCCACATTGTGGGAAGAAATAGAGAACTTGGGTGTTTTGAGTCAGCAAAAGCTGCTGCTTCCCCTCCCCAGCTGACTTGGCACCACTGATGTGAAGTGCTGAGTCAAGCTGCTGCTGCTTCCACCCCAAACCTGCTGCTGGGGCTCCCGAAGCTCTCCGTGGGAGAGCAGGGGTCAGTGATCTCCCTTGGCTGCCCCTAAAGCCTGACACAGCACTTGGAAGGAAGTTCCTTGGCAAAGTGTTGCTCTGGCTTAATTCTGCCTCGTCCAAGACTAAGCAAAAAGAGCCTCACGACAAGCACAGCACGTGCTGGAGGGTTTGGTCACGCTGGAGATTCAGGGGTGCAGCCACATCGTGTTCTTTACCAGAGGGAAGAGGGGGAAAGGAGCCTCCTCCAGCCCCCAGGGACAAGGAGGAGGCACAAGAGCAGGACTTGCTTTCTTCATGGCTTAATCCTCAGCTTGTGAGAGGCTCGAGTGGGCACCTGAATCCCACCAAGTGCTGCTCAGAAGTAGGGAAGAGCCACAAAAGAGAGTAAAAGCATCACGCAGATGTTGACAAAGGCACGGGAATAGCTGGGGTATCCCAAGCTGGGGAATAGCACGTGGCAAAGGAAGCAAAGAAAAGCAACAGCTACTGCAGGGGCTGGAGTTTATGTGCTAAATGTAGTTATCACCAACAGACCTTTGCTAAAAAGCCTCTTTAAGCTCCTGCTTATTTACACAGGGCACTGAGGAGGAGGAAAACCCACACTATTTCTAACAGACTCCAAAGGAAACGGGTGGAATGGCTGGAATGGAGCATTGGATTCCAGTTTACTCCAACTGAAACCCTTGGGAAAGGAAAACTCACCCTCTATTCACCCATTGGTGAGAAGAACACGTTCATCGCACTGTATCACAGCAAAGACTTCCCTTACCACAGGGAGACACTAAAAGCACCCCAGGAGTTTTAATTCACATGAAATCTCTCTCGTTGTAGACCTTGAGAGCAAAAGGTTTAACACAAACCCATCAGCTCTGTGCAGGTAACAGAAGAACAGGTCACTCCTTCAGCTCCACAGCTTCCAAAGCCAGCGTTTAAAGCAGGTTTGACTGGAACAGGGAATAGAAGTTACGTCTCAAGGAAGTATAAGTTATGTCTCATTGAAAGCTGGGAATGATTAACTGCAGGAGCTTCAGGTTTCCTTCCCCACCTCAGGCTATTCCCCTTCTTTGCATTCCTACACAACAGCAAACCCTGAACCTGCTGCTCAGCTCCAGTGACATTCC